TATGGTCCCATGTTCAGCTCTTATTTACTAAAGGTATTTTGAGTGAATAAAACTGAATTAACAATTTCTCCTTCTAGTTATTAGAAAAATGTGAGCTTTAGTGTAATGTAATGCTACTAATATAAATCTTAATCTTGACTTTAATAGTTAGCTAGCTCAGGATAGAGTCAACCCAGGTGTTCAAAGATAGGTGTGTAGATAGTGGAGGTGTGGTCTATTTACATACACAATGGAGCACTATAAAGTTGCAAAGAATAAAAAAGGAATGCAATTTGCTGCAATTTGGATGGAACTGGAGGATATTATGCTAAGTGAAGTAAGCCAGAAGAAGAAGGATGAATACTGGATAATCTTACCTATCTGTGTTATATAGATTAGTAAGACAAAGTAATGCAAGAAATCTAAGGGGGTATACTTAGATCACCCTTAACCTTAGTTTATAAAAACAAGGACAAATTAGGAGAGTAATCAGCAGGAAGAAGTCAGGGAAAAGAAGAGGCTGATGGGAGGTAACTGAGGCATGGAACTGAAACCGAAGGCACATCAGTAGTGTAGAGGTGTGATATATACATATATCTAAACACAGAGCCAACAACACTGAAGTATGTGATTCAAACTATAATAAACAAAATTTAAAATGTGCTGTTATAGATGAGAATTAGAATGGGAGGGAACCTGAATGCATTGGTAGTGAAGTTGATGCTTTTTTTTTTTATTGCCTTGCATGTGGCCAACCTGGCTTTGATTCCCAGCATCCCATATGGTCCCCTGAGCATCGCCAGGGGTAATTCCTGAGTGCAGAGTCAGGAATAACCCCTGTGCATGCCGGGTGTGACCCAAAAAGCAAAAAAAAAAAAAACGTATGATTTCACTTTCTATATCTGGCATAACAAGAAATTAGATTAATCTCAAATTTCTGGAAACAGACTTTCTACAAGGAATGCTACATGGCCACTGAGGAATTGGAGATTTGATAAGCAGGGGATTGACACAGCACTAAGAATAGGTCTTTACAGTTTTGGGGGCTGGGGAGCTAGCTGAAAGGGCTGTGCTAGCCTTGAGTTACATCCAGGGCTCTGCATAGCCTCCAAAACACTGCTTCCCAGCCAGATCTCAAGCAATGCATTATTCAACCTGCAGAGTCTGGCGTGGTCTTAGATCCTGTAAGCACTGGTTTTGGGAGACCCCTCCACTCCCACCCCCCCCACACACAAATAAAACCAAATCCAACTAGTGACATATTTAGTTTGAGTTCTTTTGAAATTATTTTCCAGTTACTTTGAAGAATATGCTTATGTAGTAAACTTTCAGACAGCACAGTTACTCAGTGGCAGAACTGATTCACTTTTGGAAAATGAAGAGAAAAGTTTTAATATGAACTCTCTGAATTTTCAGATATTATTCCATTATGATCTACAAAATGGCAATTGCAACCCAAGATCAAAGTTAATTAATGTTTTTTGGGGGGGGCTGCTTTTTGGGTCACACCGGGAATGCACAGGGGTTACTACTGGCTCATGCACTCAGGAATTACTCCTGTTGGAACTCGGGGGACCATATGGGATGCTGGGAATCAAACCCACGTTGGACACGTGCAAGGCAAACTTCCTACCCACTGTGCTATTGCTCCAGTCCCCAGTTAATTAAGGTTTTTAATTAAAACATTATGTTTATATTAGTGGTTTTAATGTTTCTGGATTATAACCTATTCATGCATGGTGGGGGAGTCAAGGCGTAGCTCACTGGCATTGTTCATGTGGCGTCCATTCCTGTAGGTTGTGTGTCCTCGCAGAAGATCCATCTGAGACTGCTCAGTTCCACAGTGCTCCATGCTGGGACCACCGGGGTCAAACCCCTGTGCTGGATGTGCAGGTGAGTGGGCAGTATCCTGATGCTAAGGTGGGAACTTGGGGTCTCACAGAAGGTACTCGAGCCCTGCCATTTAAATGTGTGCATGTGTGTGTATATATGTACTTGTTTTTATTGGGTGCACAGGAAATGGACTGGAATTCATTCCAGCATGTGAATCCAAGTCACTATGGATTCCACGGCATTAAGAAGAATGTTCATTCTAACATCTCTGGGATTACTTTTGGAACCTCCTCCCCATCTGCTGCTCTTGCTACCAGCAGCCTTTTTTAGGGTTGTTGCTGAGTGGCTCATCCTTGCAAAAATAATTCCTGTTTATTCTTTAATTAAAAAAAAATTCTTTCTTGTTCCCTCTTTCTAATCACCGGGAAAGGAGTCTTTTCATCTGGAAAACCTTAGATTACTAGCTATCTCTTCCAAGTCACTATTGACTTGCTCAACCTGGAGATATTTATATTTCTGGGCTTGGAAGAGAGGTACAGGTGGGTCATCCATTATTCTAAGGTGGCTTCTATTTCCGCACACTCTTCTAGAAGCACCACTGCAGCCTTCTGAAAAAGCTAGGAGGGGCAGTCAATGCTGGGACCTGCTTCTTGTTTTTTCTTGTTCTTGTTTTTTTTAATGTAATTTGTTTTAAGTTAATTTAATATAAATTAATTTTATTATTTAGATAAATAATAAATTTAATTAATTAATTAATTAAAACAGCCATGCTGAGACCACTCTCCACACACTCAGACAAGCCTCATGCATGAAGGAACTGGCAGAGGAACCCAGTTGTGCAGGACCCGGGGCTGAGATCTCCAAGGCTGCTCACTTCGGGACTGGGCCTCCTCCACTCAGATCTTCCATCTTCCAGTACCTAGACAGTTACACCCACCAACTGCTGTATAACCCCATTGATGGCCAAGATCCAGAGACTATAAAACCAAGCTCCTGGAAGCTCCCGCATTTGTGGTCACACGACCTCTTATTGTCTAGTTCTCACTCTCAGAGAACCAGGCAGGCTACTGAGAGTATCCTGTTTGCATATATGCCTGTCTGGGAGCACCTGTAAAGGTGATTACAGGCTGCCCCAAAAGTCTCCATCCCTCCCGGAGACATAAAAAGCTACCAGGAATATCCTGTCTGCATGGCAGAATCTGGCAAGCTACCCGTGGTGTACTTGATATGTCAAAAACAGTAACATTGATGTTCCTCATTCCCCTCACCCTGAAAGAGCCCCTGTTATGCCATCGGGCTACACTAGCACGTGACAGGGATGAATGGAGACGTTACTGGTGTCCACTTGAACAAATAGATGAACAACAGGGTGATTGATAGTGATAGTGATAGTGATAGTGATAGTGATAGTGATAGTGAATTTGTTTTAATTTGTTTTCTTGTTTTGGGACCACATCTGACGATGCTCAGGGGTTACTCCTGGCTCTGCACTCAGGATCGCACCTGGAAGTGTTGAAGAGATCATATGAGGTGCTGGGTATCAAATCTATAAGGTAAGCACTTTAACCCTGTAGTATCTCTCGGGTTCCCTGGGAGAGTCATTTTTTTCAGAGTCATTTTCCCCTGTCTCCCTGCCATCTCAGCAGGTCACCCACTTCTGGACATCCAGATTCTAACCTGGAATTCCTCCATTTTCACTACCGGACAACTGCTCCTCAACTTGTTCTTCAAACTTTACCTGCAAAGTACTCCTGAGCACTTCAGAGAAGTAACCTATCAAGGGAGCAATTCTGCATTTGTTTGCCGGGTAAGGGAACTTTTTGTTGCTGTTTGCAGAGCCAACAGAGGAATGGGAAACTATGTTCATAATTTCAAGGGGTGTTATTGCTTGTCTACCAGGCCTTGAAACGTGATTCCTTGGTTTTGATTTCCAGACTTATTCCCTATTAAGTGAAAATTTACTTACCTGAAACCTGCATCTCAAAAGGATAATTTCTCACAAAATGGGACTTTGTGAACTCAATGAGAATTTAGTAGTAATGTTACTATGATATCACTGGTAATTTTTATTTTCGCTTTGTATAAATGTATTAGGATTCCGCAGGAGCTAAGTGGTGTGTGATATTATAACAGATTGAATATGACATATAAAAACACAGCTAATTATTAAAACAGTCATAAATGGACTTTATAGAGGTATCAATTAAACTAAAATCTCCATTTAATTTATTTTGGAAAGCATGCATAAGAAACCACCATTAACTGTCTTTTAAGTCACAGAACCTCAAACAATAAAAAAAGATTTAAACAATTAAAAATAGAAGCATTTAACTTATTGTTGGGCGTTCGCCTTACAAGCGGCCAACATGGCCGACCCGAGTTCGATTTCTCCGCCCCTCTCAGAGAGCCCGGCAAGCTACTGAGAGTATTCGATATGCCAAACACAGTAACAACAAAGTCTCCAATGGAGACGTTACTGGGCCCGCTCGAGCAAATCGACGATCAACGGGAGAGCCTTTACCTTTACCTTTACCTTTTACTTATATTAGCATGCAATGATAACTACATTAAAAATTATCTTTTTAAATAATACCCCAGCAGTGTTTAGGATTGTACCCCTAGAGATGTGGGTCCAGCGCTTGTGCACCTGAGAATTTGGGTGATCAATCTGCATGCTGGGGCAATCAGAACTACACTTAGATGCTAGGGGAACATGTGTGACAGGGCATCAAATTAAGGGCCTCATATAAGCTAAACATGTGCTCTAGTATTTGAGCTATAAATATAACTGTGCTCTTCATTATTTTTTAATACATGAATACAAATGTTTCAAAGCTCTCAGTTTTAGTTTCAATACATATTAATAGTTATAATTTTCATTTAAAAAAGCTCTTTGGGGTTCACAAATAAACTTTGAGAGTGAGTATAGGGTCCTATGATCAAAAAGCTTAGTACTGTGTTAAAAAAAAGAAAGCACTATTTATTCAATTTTACCCCTGCCCTTTACTGTTATAAATCTCTGTGATAAAGACCTTAATAGTCCTTATAAAATATGAGAAGTCATTTAAAATAAATCTAGTTTAAAACCCTTGAAGCATTTTATTCTAAACATGAAAAATGTGGGCTCCTTAAAATTTGCTCCCTTTGCAAAATATATTTATAACTTAGCCAAAATAAATAATTCATACCTCACCAAGTGAGTAATAACGCCTTGGGATCTGGGAGTCCGGATAGATGTTTTCTAGGTACCAAGAAAAGGGTTTACAGTTCAGATTTTCTCTTAGTGTTTTTCTGACTGACACATCTCCATAATCCACTTTGACAACACCTGAAATGTTTCAGAAAAATACACAAATCAGTTTGTGCTATTTTAGTTTTAGTACTTTTCCACTCTGTTTACTTTGCCATCAGTCTTTTTGGAGATCTATAATGAAAATTCCATCAAATTCCTTTGCATATACAAATGCCACTACACTGATTTTCTACTTACTAGCATTCAATTACTACATTAAACAGTTTTTTAAAAAGTTCTACTCATTATGACTTTTCAAATGAAAATATTTATTATCACATTCTTGTAATTCTTAGGTGGAGCAATTAATCTATTAAGTATAAATTAATATTAATTTAACATCTCATAATCAGAGCTTGACTGAGCTGTGCAATAATTTGACACTTCTCTACAATAAAAAACTTTTATAGCATTAATATCTTTCATAATGTTCATATTTTCCTCTCTTTTCTTTTTTTAGCCACTTGTAGATTTCATGATACTTTAATAAAAATATGAGCCTTACCATAGATAGCAAACCTGTGTTTTGATTTTACATTCTTCCACTGAACTATTATTCTATCTGTTATCATAAACCAGATTCTTTTGTGTGTGATGATGGTAGTGAGGAATCAAACCCAGGGCTTTATACAGACAAGGCAAACACTTTACTTCTGAGCTATATTTCTTGCCCTTGATTTCTTTTGAGTTTATTTCTCCCTACCTTATTGTATGAGTCAGCATGATTTGCCTAAAATAACTTGCAATTTCTTGGATAAGTAAACTAATAAACTAATATAACCAAATTGAAAATATTTACATGTATCTATTAAAATTGTTTAGCTTGATTTCTAAGCAGCGAAACATATAAAATTAAAACATTCGCAATAATCTTATGTAAAGATGCCTTATCTTAGAAAACAAAACATTGCTACTAATATTTATATAACATACCCATGGTCACATGATCTGTTTATTATTAAAAAGAAAACCACATTTAATGTGAAATAGTCATGATAAAATAGCAGTTGTGTTTCTTAAATAATTTTGAAAAATTTTCTGTATTTATATAAGACCATTAAGCAACCAAACTGTATATTTTTAAAAGGGTCAAGCATTGAGAATAGTTTATCATGTTCAAACAGCAAAGCCAGTTAATTATCCTCTAAGATCATGAGAGATTTTTTAGACAATCTAAATGTTTATAAACAATACCATTGTATGGGTCACTATCTTCAAGAGTGGCAATATTCTTGAAGATCATCACTTACTATTTATCTCTTTCTGTCTTGTTTCTTCAGAATTTTAGTTTTTCAAAAATTCAATGCCTTAACAAAGCTAGAAGGCATTCTTAAGCAGTCAAACAAGTTCCTTCCAGAAGAAAATATTGATTTTTCTAGCTGATGTTTGAACAGAAAACAACAAAATCTTTGGACTTTATAGTCAGATAAAAATTTTCCTTCAAAATTGTTCTATCCTTTTTTATTATTTATTTTAATTTATTTTTTATTAGTGAAACACCATGAGGTACAGTTGTAGACTTACAAATTTTTGTGCTTGGGTTTTCAGTTATACAATGATCGAGTACCCATCCCTCCACCAGTGCCCATTCTCCACCACCAATGATCTCAGTATCCCTCGCACCTCCCCATCTCCCCCATCCCACCCTGCCTCTGTGCCAAAAAAGTATAGTCAAAGTGACATCTGCACCTGTTTGTTCATTGCAGCACTGTTTACAATAGCCAGAATCTGGAAAAAACCCGAGTGCCCGAGAACAGAGACTGGTTAAAGAAACTTTGGTACATCTACACAATGGAGTACTATGTAGCTGTTAGAAAAGATGAAGTCATGAATTTTACGTACAAGTGGTACCACATGGAAAGTATCATGCTAAACGAAATGAGTCAGAAAGAAAGGTACAGACATATGAAGATTGCATTCATCTGGGGAATATAAAGTAACAAAACAGGAGACTAACAACCAAGAATAGCAGAGATAAGTACCAGGAGGTTCACTCCATGGCTTGGAGGCCAGCCGCACATGCTAGGGGAAAAGGCAGATCAGATGGAGAAGGGAGCACCAAATAAAGGGTGTTGGGAGGATCCTCCCAGGAAGGGAGATACATGCTAAAAGTAGACTATAGACCGAACATGATTGCCACTCAATGCCTCTTTTGCAAACCACAGCACCCAAAAGGAGAGAGAGACCAAAATAGTTCTATCCTTGACTCTCAATCTGGAGAGCAAATTTCAAAAGAAAAAATCCCAAATACTATTTATTAAAAGAAAGCCCTAACATAATTTCTCATCATTTTAAGTGTTGCACCAATCATATTCATTGTCTCCAAACTCATGTAAATAGATGCCACTGTTTTCAGAAGAAAAAGGACACTAGGCCATCACAGAACTTAGTTTAGTAGTTTCATTGTTCTATTTCATAGTCTAGGTAGTAAAATTAAATTGGTGCCTTTTATGTTAGTATCCTCTCTTTGTCATCATGCTAGGACTAAATATTCTTGCCTTCCAGGTTTTTTCTACAAGGTTTTATTACCAGTTAGTTTTCTAAATAAAATGAAGTTTGAAATTTTACTTACATACTATTTTGCTTTAGGTAAGATACAGTGCTAATTGTCTACATCAAATTTGAGAAAGGGTGGTTGGTGGAGCATGACAGAGTTAGTACAGGAAAGCTAAATCTTTCCACTATCACCTCCAAGTCACCTCTTGGCACTGACATTGAAACTTGGGTTTAATTCTAGTTTAAGGTAATGTGTTAAATTATATTTAGGAATGCATAAAATAGGATGGGCATATGATAATGTTTTGGTAAAATGACTTTTCTTCCTCTCTATCTTATTTTCCTACTTATAAGTGAGCTAGTGTGTAAGAGAACTAGGCTCACCAAATATTGCATCTTCTCCTACACATTTTTCAAGTCCCTGCAGCTAAGCAGGGCTAGTGAATTGTCAAGGAGAGACATCTGTTATTTCTGCTCTTAAAGACAGAAGAACAGGTATGAGAACTTCCAGCTCTCTTTTTCTCTACTACAGGGACTAAGGAAGTCTCAGTAAGTGAAACTACAATATATTAAAAACAGTTTTTTAAAATTCAAATTATTAATGACAAATATTAGACCCTGAGTTAGAACATTCTAATTCAAGGCTTGAAATGCTACTGACTTGTTTCCCAAACACTCATTTCCAAACCTCCTCAGTAGTTTATTCAGTTGGCTTGCCAAACATTTTACTGACATATCTAATTGGCATCACAAACTTGACATTTCCAAAAAAGTCTCCTTGATTTTCAAATTTACTCTATTCCATGTGTCTATATTTCAAGGATTAGTAACCATCATTGTAGGAATAAGTAGTCTTAATTTACTCATCAATCAAAAGATAAAGCGTTTGTATAAATAAAGTAAATCCATCTCTATTATGTGTACAAGAAACTTTACATCAGATCTAAAGTAAACATAGACTCATAACAGAAGGCTGAAAACTTAAGCCAACAACACACACCAAAAGGAAGGAACTGCTCTGTTGGATAAATAAATGGTTGCATATGTATTCAATAAAACTCATCTATTAAAAAATACGAAGTCTTCCTTATCTTTTGAGACAACATGGATGGAATTGAGATGATTTTGCTAAACAAAATAAATCATACATTAAACAATGACTACTACATAATTTAACTCATATGAAGAAAATAAATAACCCAAGCAAATCAATTGGCAAACCTCACAGAGATAAGGCAAACCTCACTCTGTGTAAAACATGATGATTACCAGTGGGAAAGGGGGATAGTGGTGGAGTGGGCATAGAGATGATTTTTATACTGTGTTGGCTCTAGAATTTTGCTGGTGGGTGTAGTAGTGACAGTTAAGGAACTATAGAATTACAAAGCTAACAACTACGGAAATCTACAATAGTATAAGCTGATGGTTATCAATAAAATTAAATTTAAAATACATCCAGGATATACTATCATAAAAATCAAAATTAAGAAAATTGACGTGAATTTAATATCAATTGAGACATAAAGCATGAATCTATTATTTCTAGGAAAGTTTTCAGTAAAGATCCTTAAGACAGTGTTTATCTCCCTTTAGAAGTTTGAGCAGGCACAGGAAGAAGTCATTTGCTCCACGGCTCACATATTTCATAGGAAATGCTATGAATATATTGAGCCAGTAAAATTATTAATGTCATATATGTGCCTCGTGTTTTGTTTTGATTTTCTACTCACCATTATGGAAATATTTAAAACCGTTTATCATTCTCTATAAAAATGTCTTAGAGTAATGAGATGTTTTAATTGCAGATAATTTAGAGACATAGATAAATAGAAGTAAAATAAGAGTCATTTATGACTATTTAAATTACAGAAACGGTTTTTATACTTTCACTGATAATGTGAAATATCTAGAATCATATTTTCTTGCCAAAATTGTTTTATTTTGTAGAACACATTTGGAACTTGCTCTCCCTCTAACATTGTGGTTGTGAATTATATTCAGTAAATTGTCCTGTAACTGTGTTTTACTTTTACTTCTTCTGTGGTTTTCCACTTTATACATTGTTTGTAATGTAATTGGATCCCTAAAGTTTGACCTTCAGTTCATTTCTAATTTTAGACCTTAACAATAACAGAAATATTCTTTCTTTCTATGTCCTTAGTTGCTTTATTAAGATAAAGTCTAAAAGAAATATTGTTTGTATAATCACATGCTAATTTATTACAGGCTTTAAGATTAAAGAAATAAAGGCCAGGAAAAGAGACAAGTGGAGGGAAAAAGACAGAAGAGGTAGATGAAAAGTAATGAAGCAATAATCAAGAGTTTGGACACATTAGAAGGCTAGATGTGTAGTATATGTAAACTTCAGAGTCAGCAATTCTGTAAGCAGGAGACCCAACTTCAATAATGAAACATAAAAATGTGCCTATTAAGGAGGCAGGCTGGATGTGGGAAGAAATCTGGGGACATTGCGGGAGGGAAGTTGAACCTGGCGATGGGACTGGTATTGGAACATAGTGTGTCTGAAACTGTTATGAAAA